ACCTCCTCCCCCCACACCACCTCCTCCCCCACACCACCTCCTCCCCCACACCACCTCCTCCCCCACACCACCACCTCAACCGTCACCTGAAAACATGCATAATTACAGGTAAATAAAACCAGAAGCTCGTCAAGACAGTGGTCACGCGGCACACACACACACACACACACGACCACCTCTTTTCTCCTATGTGTGTGTGTGTGTAAGTAAGTAAGTAAGTTTGTAAGTAAGTGTGAGTGTGTGTGTGTGTGTGTGTGTGTGTATGTGTGTGTGTGCGTGTGTGTGTGGCGGCAAGTACCTCCATCCCTCCCCTGGCCTCCTTTCTCCTGGTTATGATGGACGCTCTCTGTAGATGCCATCACGACACATTACTGCCGCCTCTCACCTTCACACGCTCCTCTCCACACTGACATATAATAATTTCCATTCATCCTACAATTTATCCCTTTGTTATTCGTGTTGGTCTTGTGTGAACTTTCTAGCTCGGTATCCCGCTAAGGTAACCAAATAGGCAGAGTTGGATCATGATTGTACAATACTGAATCCTATCGCCGTGAGGAAGATAGTTTATTATGCACCTCATAGCTATCCTGTGGTCAATAGCGCAGAAAACTCAGGTTCAGTAATAATATATATCCATAACTCACAAGATTATAAAACACTCACACCTGTGATTAATAACAACAACCTTAGCAATGAATTATAAAACAACACCTATTATACTGGTTATTCAGTCCTGACGTCATATATAGGACATGCTTCACCGACCAATAAGAACATTGTGTTACGGACCAAACACACTCTATGAACCAATGAGCGAATTTCTCAAAGGTGGGAGCAAAATTTTCACACGTCTTAGTGGTCGTTGGGGGTGTAGGAGGGACGGGGTGTAGAAGGTGTAGGTGTGTGGGTGTAATGTGTGTCACTTTAGGGGTTGAGTGTGTGAAAATCTGACAGAGCCTGGGAACGAGTGTGTGTTCGGGGCCATGGTTAGGTTAAATGGTGGCTTGGGTGCGTGGGAAGGGATGGGTGTGTTAATTCAAGGATGACGTGTATGAGACGGGGTATGGTGTATTGACGGGGAGTACACACACACACACACACACACCTAAGGTACAGTATATAAGCAGACTCGTCCCAGCCTTAGTTTAGTGCCATCATCATCATCATCACCATCACCATCATCATTATCACCATCATCATCACCATCACCATCATCAACATCATTACCACCATCATCATCATCATCACCATCATCACCATTATCACCACCATCATCATCATTTTCATTCCTCGACCCACCCAATGTTCCTCTCACCCACAATTAAACACCCACTTGACCACCTAACCACCATTCCCACTACGCCCACTCTCCTCCAACACCCCACCCACTAAACCCACCCACCCCACCCACTCTCCTCCAACACTCCACCCACCAAACCCACCCACCCCACCCACTCTCCTCCAACACCCACCCTCCACCCACTTTGCATTATACATCCACCGTCCAGTCTACATTCATCACGCCCACTCTCACCCACCCTCCCATCCACCCATCCATCCACCCCTAAACAAAAAAACACCCAGTCACCGGATTTGCCTGTGTTCCTCCTATGAACGTGTCGACCCAATTTATCCACCCAATTACACCCAATTTTGACCACTCTGGTGTGTGTGTGTGTGTGTGTGTGTGTGTGTGTGTGTGTGTGTGTCCATCACAATATGCTGAAGCCATCATCGCCGAGTCCCAGGTTACACTGCGGTCAACACTTGCGTATAGCGGTACAGGCGGTCAGTGAGGCGCCCGCCGAGATGACCGCGAGAGCTTTATATACTGTATATATCCGTGTAATCTTATACTGTATATTATGTTTTTATACTGAGCGACAGAACAGAACAGTGACCCAGATATAAAAAAATTAAGAAACTTTTTTCATTGGGCGATAATTTTGTTTGTTTGTTCAGTTGTATTTGTTGTTGTTGTTCTTCCTTTGGGTTGGGATGGGTTGCAAGACTTCCATCTAAGTTAACCTAATCAAATTTTACCTAACTTAACATTATCAAACTTAGCTTAACTTAAAATAATCAAACTTAGTTTAACTTAACTTAATCTAACCACGATTCTCTCCAAGACAAAGATCACTAACTTATAACTTATCTGTGAACTATAAAGTGACTAGCTCATCACCCATCGAAGACCAGAACTGAATCATTCCCAACCTGTAGAAACTACCAAATGACTAAATATTAACTCACTGTCTAATTAAAAGCTAAACAAAAATGATTCCTTACTTATTAATGAGGGATAAAGAGAGAGACATTATCTAAATAGCTCTTGAGACGATCAGACCACAAGAGAAACTACTGTAATACGTGAGGTTGAACAAGTGAACATCGTGTGATACTTGAGATGGGATTAGTTGCACGTCTTGTGATAACTCACCACACAACCGACAGATGGCACTGAAATACACCCGATTGCACCAAGTCATACGATAAAATATTCACTGTAGGATGTAAGAATATATCACTGCAGATTAGCTACCCCAGCTTATTTCACCTGAATATTAGCTACCCCAGCTTATTTCACATGAACATTAGATACCTCAGCTTATTTACCTGGAGGAAAATTAGTAAGATAATAGGGGTAAAGTAAAGAGAGAGAGAGAGAGAGAGGGGGGGGGAGAAATTATACAAGTTAAGCAGGATTACTGATGCAGTGACGGTGCAAGACGGAGAAGGAGGAAGATAATGAAAGGAGGGCAGAAGGAGGAGGAGGAGGAGGAAGAGAAGGATGGTAGATGGAGGAAGAGGAGGATAGTAAGAGGGGAAGGAAGAAGATAAAAGGAGGAGGGGAAATTGGAGAAGAAGGAGAATAACATAGAAGAAGGAAGAGAAGCAGGAGGGCAAAGAGGAAACGAAATATGACAAACGACAATAACAGTGGGAGAGAGGTCAAGTTATAACACACACACACACACACACACACACGCACACACGCACACACACACCAAATCACCAATGTTTATAGGCCCGAAAGCGAATCAGAGTCATGCATGGAAGCAGTTAGTTTCTCTAAGGCCTGTTTGGTCAGCACAAGCACCGCAAGATGATGTAGCGGTGACGCTGTGTGTGTGTGTTTTGAGAGAGAGAGAGAGAGAGAGAGAGAGAGAGAGAGAGACGAGATTCACTCAAGGAAAATGAACCACATAAGGAGGGAAAGCTAAGAGGAAGAGGAGGAGGTGAAAATCCGGACCTGGAGAAGATATTGTGACAGAGGAGGAGGGGAGGAGAAAGTGGATACGTGAGGGAGGGAGGGTAAGGACCAGGTAGGCTCAGGTTAAGGACTAAGGAAATACCTGAGGAAGGGGAATGCCTATGGAATTTTGGGTCTTAGTAAGAGGAGGAAGAGGAAGACGGAGGAAGATAAACATGTATTATATTCCGTCTCTGTGAGGGAGAGGAGTGTGTTTTGGTTAACACACACACACACACACACACACACACACACACACACACACCCATTTACAAACCCGACAAAATTTAAAGTCATTGACTCCTTATAATACAACATTATAACCGCCCCTCACTGCCTCCCTTCCCCCATTCCCTCACACCCCATTCCCATTTCCTCCTTCAAGTCCTTCGCCCCTATATATATTCCTCCGCCCCTCACCCCCGCCCCCTCACCCCCGCCTTCCTCACCCCCTGCCCCTCACCCCGCCCCTCACCCCGCCTGCCCCTCACCCCGCCCCTCACCCCTCACCCCCTCACAGCCCCTCACCCTGCCCCTCACCCCCACCCGCCCCTGCCCCTCACCCCCACAGTACCAGTTAGGTCCAGCGCCACTGACCTCCCTAAGGGGTTCGTTCGGTCTTTTCTTTATTGGTCCTGGTCGTGGTGTCCTGATGGCGTGTCCTACAGGTGGTATCTTAAGAGGCGTGTCATGCTGGTTGTGGAATGTCCTAATTTGTGGCAACTCAACCACCTGGACTCTCTCTTCCTCGCTCTCTCTCTCTCTCTTTGTCTGTCTGTGTCCGCCTACTCTCTCTCTCTCTCTCTCTCTCTCTCTCACGGACAAATAACAGACCTCTCTCTTCCATGGTGAACCAAAGCGGACAAAATATAAACTAATCTTAAGCCAGGTCATGTGTCAGCAACTCCAGGTGACTGACACTCACTCACTCGTTGACAAAAACAAGTGATCTAATACTCAGGTTTTTATCACTGCAATTCCTCGGGAGACGAAGAATTGATGTGTGTGTGTGTGTGTGTGTGTGTGTGTGTGTTGTATAATATATGATCCATTAGCAGTTGTTTTGAATTAATATATTCTTAAAGGAAAAACCAATTATAGCAAAAAAACCATCTTTCACGCCCATCACTGAGAAAGGAAGGGGAAGGGGAGGAGGTGGGTAAGGGGGAGGGGGAAGGAGGGAATGGTCACCTACCTGATATCCCCTGTTAACCCTCCCCTTCACCCCTTCCTCCCCTCACTGTCCCGTTATTTACCTCGGGTCTTGTAGATGGGTGGGTGATATAGGTGGGGGTGGTGTAGATGGGGTCGGTGGTAAAGGTGGGTGGGTGATGTAGATGGAATGGGTGGTGTGGATGGTCTAGGTGGGTGGGTTATGTAGGTGTGGGTGGTGTAGATGGGGTCGGTGGTGTAGGTGGGGTGGTGTAAGTGGTGTAGGTGGTGGGTGGTGTAGGTGGGTGGGTGGTGTAGGAGGTGGGTGGGTGGTGGGTGGAGTGGTGTAGGTGGGTGGCGTAGGTGGGGTGGTGTAGGTGGGGTGGGTGGTGTAGGTGGGTGGGTGGCGTAAGTGGGGGTGGTGTAGATGGGGTGGGTGGTACAGGTGGGTGGATCACGAATATAAGATAAATATGCATTCATTAAGATAAATAATAAGGTAAAAAGGGTCTTATATCCGGAGGTTGATATACATGGGTGGTGTGTGCAGTCAACAGTCAGCGGTCTCACTAACACTGATCTTTCTCAACAGACTGTTTGATGACGTCAGTGATGGCCTAAGCACCTCGGGTGTACCAAGATGGCTGCGCCGTAATGGTGAAGCGGCCGCTGGTGTGGTGGGAGGGTGTGGCGGCGCTGGTGACGGCCCTGGCTCTCGTCCTGCTGGTGGGCTTCACCTGGGAGGCCAGCCAGTCTGCTCTTTTGCCCCCGCCCGCCGCCCACACCCATCACCGCCCACCCCTGCGAGGCCACCCAGGGCTGTACCCTCCACCTGCGCCCCTGTTGGATTTGCCGGCCATCTCCCTGGTGGCCAACACCCCCGCCTGCGACACCTCCCCCTTCCTGCTGGTCTTACTGGTGATCTCCCATCCCGCCCACGCAGCCCTCAGGGACGCCCACAGGACCTATGTCTCCTGGGAAACCCTCAACGCCCTCGGGGCCAGGAGGGTGTTCATCTTAGCTGACGGCAGCAAGGGCCTGCAGGTGGACTACCCGACGGTACCCGTGGCCAGGGTGCTGCAGGAGAGTGGCCTCCACCGCGATCTTGTAGTGGCCGACTTCAAGGATCACTACCGCAACTTGACCTACAAACACGCCCTGGCGCTCTCCTGGGCCACACACTTCTGTCCCCACGCCCGCTACCTCTTAAAGATGGACGACGACATCATGGTGGACGTGTGGGGCGTGGTGAAGTTGCTGCAGGCGGGGCTGGTGGTGGACCACTGGGGCCAGGTGCACCCTGGGGACAGCGGTCACCGTCGGCTAGAGCCTGAAGGTATATGGGTGGCGGGGCTGGTTCAGCGGGGCCTTCAGCCCCAGCGTGGGAGCGGCAAGTGGCGGGTCACTAAGGCAGAGTATCCGAGGCACATCTACCCTAACTACTTGGCCGGGTGGGCCTACCTGGCCACACAGCCGGCCGCCACCGCCATCATGCGTGCCGCCTCCAACGCCACACCATTTTGGATTGACGACGTGTACATGACTGGGACGGTGGCGGTGGCGGCGGGTGTGCCGCGCTACGCCCTCAACAAGCATTATACTTTGATGAGGGGTGCTGCCACTTGCTGCCTGGAGGGCCCCCACCAGCCCCTGGGAAAACCCCATCCCTGGCCCTCTCCCGCCCCTCTCTGTGGCCTCCTCGTAGCACCTTCTGACAAGAACGTAACCATTCTGAAGGCGTGGCTGACCACAGCACGTGCGTGTCACGAGGGCAGGGGGTGCCCCAGCCCTCCTCCAAACAGTTGCCCGCCCACACGCCCACATTACGGCGTGGGCACCGTTATAGCACTCTCCTGACCACCGTGATGGTGGCGAGTATCTTAAGTGCCACGATGTCATGACAGATAGCCAGGCACCTCCGGGTGTCTTAAGTTCCTACCAAGGTCAGCCGTCAGTGTTCGGTCGTTGTCACTGTTAGTCATCCTCATCCTTAGAATCAATGTGTACACAGAGCAGCTGATAGCCCAAACTCGCCACCCACCCTCACCACCCATCACTCTACCCACCCTCCCACATTCTCTCATCAACCATCAACCCATCCTTTTTCTCTCACCACTCAGCTATTCACCATCTCCCAACACCCACCCACCTTCACCCATGCGGGCACCACACCCACACGCTCTCCCACACCGCACCCAACGTCCCTACCCTCCCTTCTTTCCTCTCACGCACTCTTCAAGTTACACCGATTGTCCTCCATCCTTCCTCCCACGCTACACCCACGCCACGCCCTACCACCACCACCACTACAAACAGCTCCCAAGATACGACTAGACTGCCTTCCTAACACTACTATAGGTTATGTTGTTTTGGTGATGCGAGTGTCTGTCCTCCTCTGGGCTGCACGCGAGGGAAATATTGGTCTTTTTTCCACAGGAGTTTGTTTTATTTAATTCCTACATCATCCTAAACATTAAATATATATCTAACACGATACTATTATAATGTCTTCTATTTCTTATATTATTTGACATATATGAAATAGATTTACCAATATAGCACAGTGAAAAATATATAAACAATACACATGCGAACTCGTGTATGTAACTTTTGTATATATAAACTGTATAAACATAATATTAATGTCTATTTTATATATGTAATTATTTTTTTGTAATTATGCGAGTGAAAAAGAAATATTGTATCTGGATTAAATATTTTTATTTGTTATATTTTCTGTTGATGTTCATTATTACTGAATCCTGCCAGTCGATGAAATGTGTGCGTGCGTGAGTGAGTGCATTATCAATTTTAAACTCTGGAACTGACACTAAAACATAAAAATAAAAACTCAAGTGTTAGACAGAATAAAGACAAACAATGACGCAGAGAGAAGCAAAGACGATGACAAAGACGGAGACAAAAAAAAAAAAAACAAGCGAGAGAAAATGGTCATGGCAGGTGAGGAGGATTGATGACTATCCATGCCGCGTCAACTTGTACCAACACCTACCACTTTCACTCTCCCTCAGAACATCCGGTGAGGGTAAGAGAAGGAGGGAGAGATAAGGAGAAAGGATAGGGGTGGAGGAGAGGGAAGGAGGGAGAGGTAGAAAAGAGTGGGTGGAGGTGGACGAGAGGGAGGGAGAGGAAGAAGAAGAAAAGGGGTGGAGATGGACAAGAGGGAGTGGTTGAGGTAGAAGAGAGGGGGTGAAGGTGGACGAGAGGGAGGGGAGGCAGAAGAGAGGGGGTGAAGGTGGACGAGAGGGAGGGAGAGGAAGAAGAAGAAAGGGGGTGAAGGTGGAGAAGAGGCAAGGAGGTGGATGGGAGGGTAAGAGGATGAGGTAACAGAGAAGATATGAGGAAAATAATAAGGTGTGCATGGAGAACGAACGAAAGAACGAAAGAAAGAGAGGAGGAGCTTGACGCGAAGATTAATAAGATAGAGGATGGAAAGAAGAATAAACAGAGGGAAGATAAAGAAGATAGATGGAAAGAGAATGAAGTGAATCGACAACAAACCAAGGAATAAGTTGAAAGAATGGGTGAAAGATATAAAGAGGCGCGCTGATTACGAGGGGAAAGAAACCTTCTCGACCTACCCTCAGTAAACCTTATTTGGTGCCAGAAAGCAATGTGTATAGCGAGTAACTAAAGCCCCAGTTAAAATAGCATAGTACACAGAAAAAATAATGAGGGTATATTATAATTAAATGTTCAAATAGGTGGCGAAAACAACGACTAGACAGGAGGACATGTAGACTTAAAAGGGGGATACATAGACTAAGAAAAGGACACGTTGATTAGGCTAGGAGATACATTTACTAGGTAAAGGGATACATAGACTGGGCAAGGGACACATAGACTAGGGAAAGAGAACACGTGGACCAGAACACTCACTTCAAAAGGCTGGTTGGGTCTTTGAAATAGTTATCCCAGTACAGTTTTCTTTTATATCGACATCAAAGAGTATGGAATCAGGGTAACTAATATAAACGTAATAGCGCTCCTGTTTATAATTCGTGTTAAAATGAAAGCTTCGATTGCTTGATATCTTTATTTACACTGGATGCCTCGGTAAAGATTCGGTAGAGGATAACCAAGGAACTATATAGATATTGATTTTCATAAAGGGAAATTAAGAAAAAAACTAACGCTTTCGCCGCAAAATGGGCAGAGCTTTTAAAGTAGAGGGAAATTGTGGGATAAAAACACACAAGAATGACCAAACTGACCCTCTTGGAAATGAGCACCTGGTAGCTTTGTCGACTATCCTCGGTCAAGTTGCCACACTGCTTACCATTGTTGTTTACCTGCACTGTCTCGGCCTACGTGCAACATATATCCACATTGTCTTTATTTATGTTGAACTATATAGCTGCATAGTTTATAATCATTTTCCATCACCTTCAAAGCCCTACCCACTTTGTGAAAATCATGTTCATATCTCCGCCATAAATACGCATTAGTGGACTGATATCAATCGTGCATGTTAGTCGACTTGCGTCATATGACTTACATTACACTCAATAGTCCATAAAACATGGAGTTATAACCTTCCATAAGTTATCCTGAGAAATTACAAGTCCACTTCTTTTAAAACTGGAGAAACAATCTAAACAAACCCAGCCTTACTTACTTAATCTAACCTAACTTAACCAAATAGTCTAAAATCATTATAGCGAGGTATTAACTCACTGCACCGTGTTATAGCGAGGTATTAACTCACTACACTGTGTTATAGCGAGGTATTAACTCACTGCACCGTGTTATAGCGAGGTATTAACTCACTGCACCGTGTTATAGCGAGGTATTAACTCACTACACTGTGTTATAGCGAGGTATTAACTCACTACACCGTGTTATAGCGAGGTATTAACTCACTACACTGTGTTATAGCGAGGTATTAACTCACTGCACCGTGTTATAGCGAGGTATTAACTCACTACACCGTGTTATAGCGAGGTATTAACTCACTACTTGCTTTCTATAAACTAACAATGTGTTAAAATTGTGTCCTGTGCGAGTTATTGTGGGTGGTTTTGTTAAAGCTGGTTTCTGGTTGGCTGACCGCTCTGTCGGCACAGGCACTCTCATAATTATATGGATGCTTGGAAGGTCAAATTTCGTATTCCGCCGACCCTTTTGGCGGATGCTGGTTTAGGGGGGTAATTCCAATTGAGAGTTTATCCAATCATTATATTTAGACTCTATGATCAACAAACTACACACAAACTAACATTACAATTATTTAAACCATATGAAGATGAAGTGAGTCAGTGAACTTTCCCGTTCGCATGAGTGAAAGCCTGAGTCTGCTTCAGAGTTTACTTGTACAACACCAAGACGCTAAGTATCCCCTTGAGATTACTGCCTTCCGTTGTTGGCACCAAGAAGTAGAGAGGTAAACGACCTCTTACATCTGGTACCAAGTCTACACCTTACTTATGTTAATTGTGATAGAGGTGGTCTGTGTTCTATACCTGTTTGGATAACAGGAAGTCGTACTCGCTCAGGTCCTGCGTTCTCCTCGTCCTCTTTAATCTATTTGTCTCACATAAATTTTCACAATAGAATATTCTGTGGCAAGTTTTTTCTATCCTGTCAATGATCATTATCTTAATTTTGTCTTGATGAAAGTGATGTAAATAGGTCTTGGCCGTGTCCGGAGGCTCTGCCAGTCCACCCCAATAGGACTGTTCTTAAGTGGGCCATAAAAAAAAAGTTAACATCACCAACAAAGAGAAAAAAAAATCTTCGTGAATCATTTTTTTGTCTCAAGTGGCAGGAGAAAACACCTGCACTTATCAGACTCAACAACATTTTGGTGTTGTGCTTAAAGTCAGTCAGTCAGTAAGACATTATCTTATATCGTGAATGAATTTGACCTAAAATCGTAATTTAACTTCCTTTGACCCATTACTGGAGGTTAGAGATCATCCATAACTACCCAACTTAACATAAGAACATAAGAATGGAGGAAACTGCAGCGGGCCTATTGGCCCATACTGGGCAGTCCCATTTCCACCCAACCCCAACATATAACCTATGTTTGAAGCTATCCAGCGTATTCGAGTTAATGATGATGTTTTGTAACTTGTTCCACTCATCCACTACTCTATTTCCAAACTAATGTTTACCTATTTCGCGCCTAAATCTAAATTTGTCTAATTGAAAACCATTGTTACGAGTTCGGTCCCGGTTGGATAAAACAAATGACATCAGCAACAAGTGTTCAGTAAACTCAGGTCGTGTGAGAAATGTTGCAGGCAAAGTTACACCGATACGATCTTATCTATACTGTATTTAGTTCAACATGTCATGAGAAAAATAATGATAATATTGACATTCATTTTTGGGTCATTCTGGTATTTAATTTATAGTGACAATTGTTCTGGGATCATTCAATCAGGAGTAATTACGGGGTTCTAAAACTAGAGCGAGTTAGTCCATCTCTAAGGTACGAGGAAATATTAACCTAAGAATCCCTGACATTAATTTTTTTAATGCAATCGTAGACATGTGTGCGTTTGTGCATACGTCTTGAACACACACACACACACACACACACACACTAAAGACGTACATCCCTCACTAACTGCCAACATTAACCTAGGGATTAACCCGGTAAGTCTCTACAGTAGTCTTCAGAGCGGCAGCCATGGCCCAGGACCACCGCCTCGTTGACTGAAATACTCCAAGGTTGTAGCGGGGAGGTGGTAAGTTGCCAAGTGGTGGGGAGCAGCTCGGAAAACCTCGCTTGTATGCTCAAAGATCCGTAAGGTAAATTGTATCCCTAATTGGAGATACGAGAACGCATTAATTTAACTGACTTATTTAAGTTATGGTCCAAAATTCATCGCCAAAGTAGTCAAAGGTGAGGCATTCTCTTGTCTCTGGTGAAGAGAAAAATATAAGGATTAGAGTCCCGACTAATCAAAATTGAAGACTAAATATCGTTAAATGTTCTATTCTATAAGTATACACTTCGATAACAAGTAAGAATAAAACAGTATGATTTTGATTTTGCCACTTGTAGCGGCTAGTTTATTGTGCACCCCACACTCATCCTGTGAGCGGTAGCGCAAAAGGAAAACCGAGTAGAGTTTACAAAGGGTCATAATAATTAACCCCCCGTTGTCAGGATATTATGGCACTGAATATTCACAACTGCGTGAGTACAGGCGTGTGAGGCAGTATGTCTGGCCTCACACTTTGTTATTCACGTTTGCGAGAGAAGTATTCAAGCACATTGTGTATTTGGTTCTATACATGAGAACTGATATAGGTACTAAGTGCAAAAAAGTGGATACAATCTTAACATGTCGGTTATCTTGCCATTAGAGATGAAGTGTTGTGCCTTTTCACACACAGTGTGCTTGGACCTGTCCCTAAAAGGTTCTATCTTCACACAGTCGAGGACGTAGTGTTCAAGTGTATGGCCATATGTCTGGCCACACACTTTACATATAGTCTTGTTAACATCTGCTTGAGGAACATACTGCCAGAGGTACTTATATCCTAACCTTAATCTAGCGGTTACAACATCTTGTAATCTAGTGATCTTGTTACTTGCTCCATATATATGTTTCACTTGATACATCTCATCATGGTAAACTAAGGATCGACTAGTGCCTGTTTGCACTTGTCTACTTGCGTCAAATTCATCAATAAGTTCTTTCCTAATTACAGTTTTAAGGGTTCTTTTTGACAGACCCAAATTGTATTCAACGGTGTCTTTGTTAGACGCGAGTTTGGCGAGGGCATCAACTCTGTCATGTTTTATGAGGCCTATGTCAGAGGGGATCAACAACAGTTTGACCTTGACACCCCGGTCAACAAGGTACGCCAATTTGTGTCTGGCTTCAGAAACAAGCGCGTGACAACTTCAGTTGAGGGTGTCAAGAGCAAGTAGTGAGGATAGAGAGTCAGTGATGATGAGACTGTCAGTCTCAGTGGTTTGAATGAATTTAATGGCTATGAGTATGGCAACTAATTCAGTTTGTAGAGTGGATGCCCAGTTGTTAATTCTAACTCCTTTCTCAATTATATTACCGCCAGGTTGAGTCATGACAATAGCACTACCAGCCCTCCCACAGGTGTGGGTTGTGATGGAATGCGTCTGACTACTTGTTGCTTGGCACCAGTGAACAGCGGCCTTGAAAGGCAGTGCTTGCGAAAAATTTCACGATCAACATCGTGGGAGGGTTACTGAGACACTGATTACTGACACTCTTACTGACTCAAGTCATAACACAGACATACTAACGAAGATGGCGGAAAACTGCAGTATAAATAATAAATCTAACCTAACCTAATCTAACCTAACCTAACCTAACCTAACCTAACCTAACTTAACCTAAGCTAAGCTAACCCCTATAATTATAATCAACTTACAACACATTACTAACAGACACACAACCAACACACCCTACATATACACTACTGCCCTCCACCAGTATCTTCCCCTGCCTTGAGTGTTTCTGTTGGTGTGTGCATGTGTGTGTGTGTGTGTGTGTGTGTGTGTGTGTGTGTGTGTGTGTGTGTGTGTAAGCCTCAGTCAAGTCAGTTATTGAACCAGTCAGTCAAGTCAGTTATTGGGCCAGTTAGTCAGTCTCCAAGCAAAGACCATTATTACTTTGACTTCAAAAACCTGTATCGGAATAATGCCGAGTTACTGATAACCTGATGATTAGCCCTGAACATATTTTACCTAATAAGTAAACACCCTAACAAAAACTTAACCTAACCCCAAAGGTAACGTTAGGGTGTTTAATCAATTTAGGCTAAAAAGTCGACGTGAGGTGGATGTGTGGGGTCACTGCCCTCACTGATCCCTAAAATAACTTCCTTGCATAAGCTGCACCATCTTGCATAATGGAGGTATGTAAATAAGTGAGCTACGGACTAAACAACACAGATGATCTAATTATTTCTCTCCCCTTGTGAGCCTCAGAGATCAAGTCGCCCTGACCTACATATCGGTCCCAGTGAGGTGATCCCTTAACACCGCCTCGTCGTCACTTCGGCGGTACAATAAAGCTTAACATAGAAGTTTATGAAGATGGGGGATGTTTACCGTGTGAAGATTACCTTAGGGGTATTCATTAAGGTTCAGTGGAAAACCATTACTGCACTGCACACATCACAATCCCTGCGTAGTTCACTTTAATTAGTTTTGAAATTGAAGGAAATGGATGCAATATGGAGTAGAATAGTAGATGATACTTATAACTATGATTATAAACAGAGTCGAGTAGCTAAGGCAATGGAAACAGTACAGTTATTAGTTAAAGCGGAGAGGAAGATTCCACCACTAAATTAATCTGTTAATTTGTTTGGAATAGAAGAGTCTTGCTTCTGGTGATGATAAGAATATAATGCTTTGTTTCATTTACGCTTAACGTGAGTTACCGGAAGAACACGGTAGCCAGAGGTCGATATTATCTTGTTTTAACACAGTGGGCGACCGACTCCAGTCAAGCCAGCATCAATATATTAACATAACAATATTAAGGTACAATTGTTAAAATATTCTCTTTTCTGTTAATATAATGAATATATTCGTTATATTAGTTAATCTCCCTCGACACCAATAGTATAAGAGACGAAACACTTATCACAAAAAACGGGCGAGTCTTAGAGAAGTATTTTAAGATATTTTAGTTTTTTATCTCAGGGCCCTAAGTCTCCGTAGTAGCAGGATCCCTCGGCTTGGCTCGGCAACAACATGGACCAAAATAATCAAGTGCATTATTGGCGGAGCCTCAGTATGCCTCAGAGGTCCCTGGTTACTTCTCACTCCTGTTTGGCACCGGAGTAACGCTCAAACAGTCAACCGTGCAGGAATCTCGCTCCAACAGCAAGCAGCGGAAGAAGTCATTTGCATGGTGGCCGTAGTGGAGGGATGGTCATAAAGCCGTGTGTTGGTGTGTAGAGACAAACTCGGGAGTGTCGTGGTTGTGTAGAGAGAGAAGGACCGGCCACAATAACACCGACGTGCGAGTGTCTGGCCGTCATGTTTACATCAATATTAATATTATGTGTTGGGCTGCTGGCCCTGACCAGTAAGTATAAGAGAGAGTGTTGCTTATTATGTTTCATTATGTGATAAGACCTTTGGTGTAGCTAATGAGAAATATTTACGTGTAATGATGAAAATACTGTATTGGTAACACGTGGGGTTGTGTTGTGTACACTGGCGTAGAACTAAGAAGCGTTTATGGTTACTCTTACCTAACACAAGATGATGGTTGTAGCCCGTGACAACAACCATCGCCAGGTAGAGGGCTGTGGTGGTGGTAGGTTGTGGTTGTCGCAGCACACACGCACAAGAGCTGTCCTTGGTTCGCAGCAGTAACCCTTAGGACAGGAGACGAGTGCAATATCCACTTGGCCACAATATTTATTAAGGCATTACGAGGCACTGAGTCCCTTCATCACGTATACTCCCCCATGACAGGTCAGAACATAGGCTGGGTAAACGTATAAATCCCTCCTTGTTTTATGTTCAATGCCACACCAATGAACCCAACGAAACCCTGATGAACCCCCGTGAACCCTATGTATACTCCAATGAACCCCACTTTACCCTATGTATAACCTTACTTAACCTCTACGAACTGCACGTGCGAATACCCAATGTAATTCAATGAATCCGAATAACTTCCAATGGTGCCAAAAAGAAGACTGGTGAGCAACAATGGTACCCAATCAACCTCCTGTGTCCAAGTGATGAGATCCAATGCCACTACTGAGGAACGTTTGTATAGTAGTGGAACGTTTGTGTACTAGTGAAACGTTTTAAATTAGTGGAACGTTTGTGTATTAGTGAAACATTTGTGTAGTTGTGGAACGTTTGTGTATGAATGGAACGTTTGTGTACGAATGGAACGTTTGTGTAGTAGTGAAACCTCATATGAATCTTTATGTGCTAATAAATGTTAACTACGTGAAAAATAATAATGAAAACCAGGTACATAAGTGTTTTTCTTGTTTTTCTACAATATACAAAAGTTGAGGTTTTAGTCTCAAATAATCGTAAGTTCAAGTTTTCTAATCGTAATTTGGGACGAGACGATTAGTGCGTTAAAAATATTCACTCGTAAGAAGATAAAATAATGTGTCTGGTAGTAGAAGCACAGTGTAAATTTTATGCCATTTTCACCGATTTAATGCCATGGTATTATCGAGCCGGTAGATACGTTATATCTCCAATAAGAGGAAAAAAATAACTTACGACCCTCTCAGAATCCGTACCTGGATATCTTAAATGAGACGTTTAGATTACCATATTCAGGTGTTCTTTAAGGTGAACACAACTCATCTGGAGGAGGTCCAAGTTCAGGATTCCAGCAGGTATCACCGCATCCTCTGCCAACGCCCAGAACGATTTGATTATTAGCGTGTACGTAAAAGGTCTTATAACAGAATGAGTTTAAGAGATCTTTGTTGTCGGAGCGCAATAACACAGTGTTATATCATCAACCATCTTTATTTGTTGATGACTGGTGTGTGAGCTAGTGCAGAATACATGTTTAAAGGCTTCAGCTGTGAGTTAATGCAGTTCCACAGTTTTGAAGATAATTGGAATTTGGAAGGGAGGGGTGGGTGTCCTGGGCTAGGAGATAGTGGCACAGTATCTCCTGGGTGGGATGCCCGGGTGAAGCCATGTAACTCAACTAGTACATTATAATATTAACAATACAACCTCTATCTCCCACTCTTATGTTGTTTACTTTTGTGGTTGAGGACTTGATTCAGTCTTCTTCAGAAGATGTGAGAAGCAATGCACCAGTTTAATTTAATTGTGTCCTCCACTGTCCAGGAATTAGAGTACTGGGAGAAAACCTGTGATAACACCTTTCTCACACCTGTCTGTGGCCGGGTATCCAACCCAGGATACAAGCTTCGAGATACGCGTGTTACCGTTGCACCACCAACATCCCCTTTATTTTTGTTTATTTACCGGTTAGTGAAGGTCAGTTGACCCTCATCGTGGGTTTAGACATAAATCTGGTTAAGGTTTACAAAGTGCTAGTTGTGGTTTGTTATACAGTAAATCATATTAGTTTTATGTTAACTATGACGTGTTGATGTAGTAATGGTTGGTACAGTACACAGGTGTCGTAGTATTGGCTAAGCTGTGGTTCTGAAGTAAAGACTAAATCATTTGTGGTCAGTTTACCTCATATAGAAGCAAACACGAAGAGCAAGTTACGTAAGAACCTAGCAAAGCCTGGATGACCGCCAGGTGTTGAGTGTGTTGTGGTATTTGTGAAGACTGTGCCAGCTATCCCACCAGCGACGGCACGACAACGTGGGCGAGTAGCACAAAAAACAGGCACTAATACACACTATATAACAATCTCCACTCTACTTCACCACAATTAGAAAATGATGTTGGTAAGCAGCAGTAAGAGGTGTTGACGCGCCCTCTTCAGCAGAGTAATGACGTACAGTAAACTAGTGGAAAATGAGATCATCTTTAATCCCGTAGTGTTCATACTTGCTTTACCATCTGGGTAATAAACAATGTGATGATGCCATCAACAAAAAAATGGAAATTTGATTTCGTTCTCTTTGCTCCTCGTCCAATAGGTGTAAATCATAATTATCTTCGAGTATTGCCAATATTTTGGTGACTAAAATAAAAACAAATGTACACTACTTATCCTCCTCTCGAATACATCGCTGTGGACACAAGTTCGGTGGTCAAGTTGCATAGCAGTTTACTGTCTGGTATCATCCTTACAGTACACTTCGCTACCTGTACCAATATGTCCAGCCAGTCAGCCTCTTTCTCTCTGACTTATACTAATACGTGATTTATTTATTTCAACAAACATAATATTCATTTGGTCCAATTTTGGTCTTCAGTAGCGTTATGCTGGAAACAATGTATGGTCTGAAAATTGTATTTATTAAAATCAAAGGTTTGTTTTATAATCTATCCATGTTACTTGAATAAACCGTCACTCTGGCAGCCGGTCTGATAACATCAGAAGTTCTCGGACCATTGTGAGAAGAAAGTAAATCAAGCAAATTAAGTTGTAGGACCTATAACGAAGGCCGTTCCTATATCTAGACTTTTCATTTATTTAAAACGGCCAAAAACGGACCACCAGACTGGTGCCTGCACTCCAACGCCTCAGTTACCCAGAGAGTTTAGAACACCTGCAGTTGTCTAATACCTTATACTATAGTGGGACAAATAGAAGCTTATAAGCATTTTTCAGTCGGGCGTTCATTTCTGAAGCTGGCGAAGGCCTAGCGAGGCACTAGGGGGTCACAGCTGAAGGATGAAGAAGCCACAAGTTAAAAAAATTGCCAGGAAAACTTTTTGGACTGAGAGTTGTTGAAACGGCACCGGATGTGAGCTCATTTAAGACTAGACTTGACCAACACTTGCACAGGTTCAAGTACATTCTAGAGTCAGTACATGCCCACTACTTAACAACAGTGCATCAGAGAGACGTGGCCGATTGCCCAAGCGGTTAACGAGCCGCTAAGTGGCGAGGAGAATGAAGTAAATGTATTTTTAATTTTACTCCTATCCCCCCCAGGCCCCGTTGTAGGTCGATGACCTGTGCCAGGGTGGGCTATTCCCCGTAAGAAAGACAACTTTTAACATTGACCAGCATTTTCTATTTTTCAGGTTTTCCCAAAACTTTAGAAGAATCATCTTAGACATGTCTGGTTGATAAAAAAAATAGATAGATAGACAGAGAGATATATATCCCGGACAGACTATTAACAGATCCACAATTTCCCGGACATAATAACATGTGTATTGGTCGGCAGATCCGTCAAGCAGCCAGAGTCGGTGGGATCCGGTGATGATTACTAAACCAGAGGCTTTCCTGGGTCAGGTGGGCGCCTCCATCACCCTCCCCTGCTCCATCAGGAACGCAGGTGAGCAATAATTATTTAGCCTCGTTAATTAAAAAGGAACAATACAGTTACAAAACAAAGCCACATAAATTCAATTTCTCGACATGGGACAGCCACAGACCCTAGTACAGGTACACACGATCCCTTAAGAGTTTAAACCTGCGTCACCTTGGTCCTCCTCTACAATGCTCTGAGTGAGTTCAGTAATTATCTTTTACGGATAACAGTAATCAAGGATCACTAATTGACTCTCAAAGGACGTGATGACCGAGTGGGACACAGCGCTCGCTTCCTGTACTTTGAATAATTGGTTCGCGCCCAGAGACACCCCTTGTTTACCCAGGTGTGAATGGGACCCACTTTAACATTGTTTTCCATTAGTCACACCTGCATCGTCTGGTTCCTCCCCTGACAGGACGTAAGTCAGTATTCTGGTTCAAGGGAGAGCCACCGACAGGCAGGGAGCTGATTATGCAGGTGAAGCGTATCCGAGGGAAATTCGTGGTGCCCCGCCAGTACCAACGGGTCCTGCAGGCGGGCAAGCTGGCCACCCAGGGCACTGATCTCACCATCAACGACCTCACCTTCGACGATGCTGACAGCTACACCTGCAGCGTCGCCTGGGCCAAACAGACCGTCACCCACACGCTGGAGGTCGTCGGTAAGTCGAGGCGACTATCTGTTGATCACTAGTGTCCACAAACGCACCGAGATCTTACCAGCCACACAGACCCAAATCACCGTGACGACTGTGGTGATTTGGGGACTAAATAGATCTAAGTTCAGACCATAACTTTGTAGAACAATCATTCACACAGTGTTTCTCAATCACTAATGGCACTATGTATGTATGTATGTATATGTATTTTTAGCATAACTGACGTCACACCATTACCACCACACTCAACACCCCTTCGTCGCCACCCTACAGCAGGAGGAGGACCAGATGTGGTGTCTCAACCGTCGCCAGAGCTCCAGGTGGTGTATGACCCGCCCAGCCTCAGGGCCTCCGTGGCTTTAGGTGATTCCACCAGCCTCAACTGCACCGCCACCGGCTACCCCTCCCCTACCCTCAGCTGGCGCAAGGAGGTGAGTCAGTCTCTTATACCTGTTACAAGGAGGTGAGTCAGTCTCTTATACCTGATACAAGGAGGTACGTCAGTCCCTTATACAAGGAGGTGATTCAGTTCCTGGGGCTGTTACACACATACTGCATTAATATATAAGTGGCAGGCAGCATATCAACACCCACTCACATTCCCCACCCCATCTCTCCCCACCTCCCTCACTATCTCTCCCACCTCTCACTCATCTCCCTACCTCACACATTCCTCCCTTACCTCCTCACTATCTCTCCCTACCTCCCCACCATTCTCCCCCCACCCTCACTCACATCTCTCCTCCCCACCTCTCACTCATCTCCCCACCTCTCACCATCTCTCCCTCTACCTCCCACTATCTCCCACCTCTCACTACCTCCCTACCTCCCACTATCTCTCCCCACCTCTCACCATCTCCCCACCTCTCACTATCTCCCTACCACTCATTATCTCCCACCTCTCACCATCTCTCCCCACCTCCCTCACTCATCTCTCCACCTCCCACCACATCTCTCCCCCACCTCCCACTATCTCTCCCACCTCACTCATCTCTCCCCACCTTCCCACTATCTTCTCCCCACCTCTCACTATCTCTCCCCACCTCTCACTATCTCTCCCCACCTCTCACTATCTCTCCCCACCTCTCACTATCTCTCCCTACCTCTCATTATCTCTCCCCACCTCTCACTATCTCTCCCTACCTCTCACCCTCTAAATCTCACCAAACTCCCCCTCACCCCTTTTATCTCTGTCTCACCGTCTCTCCATCTCTCCTCCCTAGGGTGAAGCACAGATTCTAAGTGAGAACTCTACCCTCACCCTAACCGAAGTGACTACTGAGGACGCTGGTCGCTACGTGTGTACAGCGTCCAACGGCGGTGTCCTACAGGATCAAGACGGCTCCTTCGACGTACAAGGAGTGTAAGAAGGTCCATTGGGTGGGGGGGGAGGGGACGTGGGGTGGGAGGGGGGGGGTGAGGGGTTAGGGGTGGGGGTGAGGGGGTGAAGGTGGAGGTAAGGGTTGTGGGGGGTGTGGGGAGTGTTTGGGAGGGGACATTGGGAGTATGAGAAGGTAGGAGGAAGAATGGGAGGAAGAGATGGAAGAATAAAGAAGGACTAGAGAGGGAGAGAGGGAGTAAGGGAAGAAGGATGCAAGTAAGAGAGGGGGGGAGGAAGAGGAATGGAGAGAGAGAGAGAGAGAGTGTGTGTGTGTGTGTGTGTGTTCATGAAATATCAATCTATTAAAATATTTCATAAGTTATTATTACAATTGCTGTACTGATATACATTCCTTGAGAATATTATGGAAATATTAAATATTTGAATCATTATCACCATCACCACCACCACCATCATCACTATCACCACCACTACCACCTCACTGACTTACAGACGTGGAGGTGGAGTCAGTGACGCCCCGAGTTGTGGTACAGAGTGAGGAGCGGAGTACCCAGCTGGCCTGTAGGGTCAAAGGTTACCCCAAGCCTCAGGTCAGTTACCCACTGTTGACCTCCAGAATAAAACAGCCTCTATGGTGTCAGTTCTTAAGTGTAATTTTAGGAAGCCTTTCTTATATGGACAGTCTTAAAATGTGGAAAATAAATGAAAAGAAAAAAGTTTCAGAAGTACTAATAATTATTATTTTTTATTAATAAAAAAATAAATTGCTGAGGGTGTGTGACGGGAGGCACTGCAGGGAAATATACTGTATATGTAGATTTGTTCTTTGTTCTTTCATGGGCGAAGTTAAAGTTTTGAAGCCCAGGTACAGGTGTGGATGAGGAACTGAGGTGATTATGACAGATGGAGTAGTGTGTTGCAGTGAGAATAAACAGAGGCAGTGTGAGAAGTGTTGGTTATAGGTGAAAGCAGGAGAGGAGAGTGGTAGAGATGATGGTCTCCTTCACGTGTTGTGTCGTCAGATCACACAGGTTAATGATGGTTCTCCTCCAGGTGGTGTGGTATACCAATGAAGGTCCTGTGAACGTGGATGACACTCACATCTACCACACCCAAGATGACATCCACTACCTCCAGGTAATGTCTTCCTCACTACCTCCAGGTACTGTCTCTCTCACTACCTCCAGGTAATGTCTCCCTCACTATCTCCAGGTACTGTCTCTCTCACTACCTCCAGGTACTGTCTCTCTCACTACCTCCAGGTACTGTCTCTCTCATTACCTCCAGGTACTGTCTCTCTCACTATCTCCAGGTAATGTCTCCCCTACTACCTCCAGGTAATGTCTCCCTCACTAACTCCAGGTACTGTCTCTCTCACTACCTCCAGGTAATGTCTCCCCCTACTACGGTAATGTCTCCCTCACAACTCCAGGTACTGTCTCTCTCACTACCTCCAGGTATGTCTCCCTCACTACCTCCAGGTAATGTCTTCCCTCACTACCTCCAGGTAATGTCTCCCTCACTACCTCAACTGCCCTCTCTCACTCCCTCACTACCTCCAGGTACTGTCTCTCTCACTATCTCAAGGTAATGTCTCCCTCACTACCTCCAGGTACTGTCTCTCTCACTATCTCCAGGTAATGTCTCCCTCACTACCTCCAGGTACTGTCTCTCTCACTACCTCCAGGTACTGTCTCTCTCACTATCTCCAGGTAATGTCTCCCCTACTACCTTCAGGTAATGTCTCCCCCACGATCTCCAGGTATGCTTCACTGCCTTTTCCTTAAAATCTCCTCCACCCCCCCCAACCTCCTCTTACATAGTGCTCCTATTCTTAAGTGTCACGTGATGGGTCTCTCTCTCTCTCTCTCTATCTATCTATCTATCTATCTATCTATCTCTTTCTCTCTCTCTCACTAGCTGCTGGAGTTAACGCCGTCGTCCCTAGGAAACTACCAGTGCTACGTGTACAACCAGCGCTCGAGGGACCTGGCCACCATCTCCGTGGAGGCCGCCCCTGGTCCAGTCCACATCCTGCAGGTGTCCCCGACCGCTGACTACGGCTCCTACAAAATCACTTGGGAGGTTGAGAGTCTCGCCCCTATCAAGTTCTACTATTTCTTCTATAGGCAGGTGAGTAGCGGGAGGTCGTGTCGTGTCGTGTCGTGTCGCGTTAGAGTGTATCGTCTCATGATATATATTATTAATGTTTCACCAGTACTTCCACCCCTGACGCCACGCTGTTGCCTGACCTTCTTGCAGGAGGGGTCAGAGAACATGGTGAGCAGCAGCGTGGAGGGGTCACCCACGCCGGACATCAACGACACTCATTACCTGAAGAACACCTTCCTCTCCTTCACCCCGGGATTCACATACGAAATCATGATACGCGCTGTAGCTCATGAGCACCAGCCTGGACCGGATATGGACAAGCCCTTCTACTTCACCGCCCCCGCCACCTCCTCCAGCGGTGAGTTAGACCATCCCCTTGTTGACGACGGAATACTGACTGACTCTCCCTTCCTTGAGTATGATAAAAATTAATTGTGATGACTTAACCCCTTGCATACGATGACTTAACCCCTTCTGTAAGTTGGTTTAATTCCATGAGAACGATGATACTATGGTTACAGGGCTGAGACATGGTACTCAAGACGCTGATCATTAACCTCTTCAGCACCATAACTCAGCTGAATATATTAGCCTCTATATATTCAGCCTTTCACCTGTACTCAAGATCTTTAAGCATCGTTCACTATGTCCAAAATTTCTGAACGAGACAAATAATAATAATAATAATAATAATAATAATAATAATAATAATAATAATAATAATAATAATAATAATAATAATAATAATAATAATAATATGAAGAAAGTTATTCTTTTAGCAGTTTATTATAATATAAAAAATAATGTTCTTAATACTATACTACTATATATTCTAACTATAATTCCTATAATTCCAACATAAAATCTATATATGCAGCTAATTTATAAATACTAAAAAAAAGAAGAGCTGATATTGATCTTGTTCGTCTCCACTACACAAGTATCCGTGATGTGTGTACTAAAAGACCGCAGTTATTCACCAAAGAGGCCAGACCGGTTTGGTGAGTGAGCCAGACAGCGCGGCGTCCTGACTATTATAGTAACTTGATGTAACATAACCTGGTGACAATCGTACACCATCAAGATCCCTAGCACGTCAGGGAGCCCTCACTGCTAGTGATCAACGAGGCGATCTTGTTAAAGGAAAGAGATAACAACGGAGAACTACAAGACAATTGAATCAAACTCGCCAGAGGCCGTAGGGAGGAGGAGGAGGAAGAAGGAAAGGAGGAGGAGGAGGAAGAGGAGGAGGATGAGGAGGTGGTGGTAGCAATAAGAGGTGACGAAGAGGTGGGAGAAGGAGATGATCTATTACTCAGGTCTTCACAGGTGTCACTAGAGAGCTTGGATGTCAACACATACCTGTATATCAAACATAAATTGCTGGTGTTCCTTGATCCTTTGACTGTGTCATGGGTTGCGTTGGGCCTCCCGCACAACCCATCCCAAATGTTTGTTTACGGTAGAGATAAGGTAACCGGCCAGCCATAACTGGGACATGTTTTCAATTAGTGGCATGTTAGCCAGCCGATAGAGGGGGCTGGCCAGTGAGACAGTGGTGTACTGTTCATCACTTCACGCCTCAAAAAACCAATTTAGCCAGTGGGCTTTAGACCTTGGGTTAGAGAAGACCTCCTGCTCCGCGGACCTAAGAACAGGGGCCATACAGTCCTACCAGTGCTACGAGTCTGTGTGCAAATCCCCGAGATTTTTGTTAAGTCCAGCGACAAGTTAACACATCCTGTAAATGAAGTGATCAATGGTGAGGGCCTGTTTGCTACAAGAGCACTCCAGGCCGGCCAAATAGACCTAAAACGATTAATTCTCCAGGTTGACAAACTCTCCCTTATAACTTACGGTACTGTGGCGTGAATGTGAGTGACTGACCTATCCATGCAAATTATAAGTCCAGTGTATGGAATTGTGCCAAATAAACGTAAGTGCAATCATCTGCCCGTATCTGTGATCCCTCTATTATTATTATTACTAAGGGTAATGACTGATTGGTTATGACAACGTATAACCAATAACTTAGAGGGATGTTGGAAGTTAGTGGAATTCATTAAATCGTCATTTATCAAGTACACAACGCATTGAATGCCGGAAGCAGAGCAAAATTCTACGTAGTGATACACCATAATCTCTTGGGTGAGTAACCAGTGTGAAGGTATCCGAGGAAAGAAAGCCACTTCCTGCATTTTAAACGTAACAGACTGCTACCCTTCCACTTCCCTCCTCCACTTCTCTTCTTATTCCTCCTCCCTACACAACACATCCTCCCCCTTCCCCTCCCCTTCTCCTTAAGTGGCTCTGATTACCTGAGCCACTTAAGGTACCGAATAATGACACTTAGTTTCCCTTTTCCACAGTTGAGTTGAGTGACGGTCCTTGGAAGTTCCTCAAGTCAGCCCTCACCGTCATGTCAAGGCTCCCTAAGGTGGTCAGGGTGATGCAGTAAGACGCAGGTGAGGTGAAGAGGTTAGGTTAGGTTAGGTTAGGTTAGGTCAAGGCAGGTCAGGTGAAGTTAGAGAAAGTCGAGTCAGATGAGATGAGATGATGTTAGGGGGGCAGACATACGCACAGACATATGAATGATTCGACAAACAACCACACATGTAAATGGATAAATGGATAGAGTCACAGATAAGGAGACGGATAGAGATTAATATGTAGAGAGACAGGAATATAAATAGACAGGGAGACGGCTAACTTGACACCAACAGATAGACAAAAAAGACTGGTACACAGACGGATAGACAAGGACAGTTAAATAAACAGATAGACAGAAAAACAGTCAACGATAGACGAACAAGCAGACAGGTAGACATACAGAAAAGCAGACAGCCAGATAGATAAAAAAAATATATATTAAAATAGAAACTAATAAAACAGAGAAAACTTTATATGTAAAAAA